CACACACACACACACACACACACACACACACACACACACACACACACACACACACACACACACACACAAAGGGGGTCCGAAAGGGGGTTGGAAATCCCCCGACAGGTGAGTGCGCTGGGGGGGCCCGGCACCCAACCGGGTGCCCTGCCCGGCTAGGCCGCCCGGGACTTCCCCTGGGCCCCTGCCGGTCACCCGGGCGGCCCGATCCCCACTCAGCACAAAAATGTAGTTACGTTATTTGCCTATAGGTGGTATTATTGGACTTATCTTTTTCCTGGAAATTTTCTTAGTTGTAAACTTGTAGGTAATGATTGCATTCCAATATTACCAACAGAATTGAGTACAACTGCATTTCAATAGACTGTGCAAGGAAAATGAGAGAGAGCGAGATGACAGATTCCAGATAGCACAATCACATTGAAAACAAGAAAGTCACACAGTGTCCAGAAATCAGCATTGCACCAATTTTACACCAATGGAGAATCGAAACACTGAAACTGAATGTCAAGGAGAGCTTACTCTCGTCCCCACCAACATACGTATCCTGGCCCTCTCTCCCCACTTGGCGCGCGGCGCTCAGGCTACTCCCTACACAGGTACTTCCTGCCTACGAATTGGCAATGCAACTGTTGACGTCAGCAGCCACCGAAGTACTTGAAGATGTCGACCAATGCAGACTATTGCCAATACCAGGTATGCGCCCTCACATCATCATCCTCATCTCTTTCACTCTCTCCCTATCCTTGTCTTCCTCCCACGTCTTCTCCCTTATGCACGAAGACCACCACCACCTCCACTGGCTGTCCAAGCCGAGCCCTGGCTATGTAGGGCTGGCTATGGCGCTGCCCTCAGCAGCGCCCTGTCTTCTTCCAGCGCCCGCGCGCACTGCCTGGCAACTAGCGCTAGCGCACAGCCCGCGAGCGCACGCTCGAGCAGTGTTGCCGCATGCACTGCCTAGTGCCCCAATCCTCCACCAGTGGTGAGCTCTTTCCTTCATGGAAAGTGCTCGCCCAGTCTGCTGCCTGGCTGGGCCTCGTGTATTTCCAGTAGCTTCCAATGGGGCCAAAGTGTCTGCGCCCAGGCCCATTCAGACAGTGGCCTGGGATCGAATTGGTTTGGCCTGCTCGACCGCCCAGGAGTAAACGTGAGGTTCTCCCTGCTTCGCCTGTGCTGCTGGAAGAGCCTAGAAGGCTCACAAATTATTTCTGATTCTCACGAGTAAGGAGGATGTACCCAACTGGCGCATGGCAACTGTCTGGCGCCCACCAAACTTTGCCAAAATGGATGAACGCAGGCCATGTTGAAATTCAAGGGCCCGCCTTCACTTAAGGCGGGCTCATGCTTGCTGAAAGGGCCCTACAGGGGCATTCTGAGGAGCTAACTCGTAACAAGGCCTTGTTGAAGATCCATACGCTCAAGGGGGGTACAACGGGCTCTGCTTGGGCCCCTAAGCCTGGTCTCATAGCCCTATAGACAGGCATTGGCACATATTTGCAGGCCCGCCTTCACTTAGGTTGGGCATGGCACTTTCAGACACTGCCGAGGGACTAAATCCTCGAAACTGTTTGTTTATGCTTACAAAATACAAAGTTGGCCGAATCTGGAGACTTAGGAAATCTACTTTATACCTAGGCCGTTTTCTCAGGCGCCTGGGCACCCCAAGTTTATGCCCAGAAACACGCCCGGGTGACCTGCCGGTCATGACGCCCGGGCAGCCCCAGCTGCAACAAAAAAAAAAAAAAAAAAAAAAAAATTTGGAAAAAAAATGTCGTGTAGAATTGCAATACAAACAACTTTTGGCTGAGGGTCACATCGGAATTCCTCACGGAACTGAAGATAAAAAAGAAAATAACAGAATCACACCAAGGCAAACGTGCCGAATAGTATCGCTAATGGGCCTAGCGCAGTTGGTACACTCATGGGACTGTTGAAATACAGATCCAATGAACAGAATAATAATTCTGTGTTCCCTTGAGCTGGTCAGTGCAAGGATGATATCTTAAGGTCATCGCCCGTTCAAAGAAAAAGAAGAGGGGGAAAAAAAAGGGAAAGCAAATACAGAAGGGGGGGGGGGAAAAGAAACAGAAAGGAAGGAAAAACAAACAAAAAAGTTCTTGTCAAACTTTTTTTTTTTTTTTTTTTTTTTTTCCTATTCCCCCCCCCCCCCCCCCCCCCCAGTGTTAGTGGTGCTGATAAGAGCAGACACCACTAGCACCTGGGGAAAGGCTCCATCCATTGGTGGGAGCATCACCTGCTGGAAAACGGGTCCAGCGTCCCATATACAGAGAATGAGAATGTCTGAGAACGGTGAGAACAGTGACCATTGGGCCTTGCCAGCATTGATTGCCTTGCGACTCAGGGGATCGACTGAGCAGGCCTATATAGTGTCCGGTGGTGTAGTCTACTCCTCACTCACTCTGCATTCAATCTTCAGCCACTCACCCTCCGGTACCATTCCTTCTCTACCAAAGCTAAAAGGGAGGGGGCGGGAAAAATTCAGCGAAGTCTTAGAGGGGCCGAAGTGGGATGGAGGGGTCGATCTTTGTCCAATCCTGGAAGCATAGGTGGTAGTCTCTTTCCCCTTCCTCTACGTCTTCCCCCTCCTTCTCCCTTACCTTCCATGTTACCTCGGCGATCCAACCCCCCTGCCCCCCACCCAGCCAGTTTGTACAGAACGTCCCTTTTTTCTTTTTTCTTTTTTTTTTAAAAATTTGGACCATTTCTCGATTTATGCGTGTCATCCTTGCGCAGGGGCCATGCTAATCTTCTCTGTATCGTTCCAATTTTAACGGATGTCCCGAAGGACATGTACAGAACCTCTCTATGTGTTGTCTAATTTCAAATTTCCTGTTTCGAATGTAGATATGTGGTCTTTTCTTTGAATCTTTCCCATTGAATTGTAAAAAAACTTAATAGTACTAAAAAGTTAATACTACTTAATAGTAGTTAACAGTACTTAAAAGTTAATACTCTCACTGCCTGGGGCCAGAATATTAAGTAAGTAATATCCAAGCACTACCCACCTGTGAGACATGCATGTGCCAGTCTCGATCACAGAAGACTGGAGTGAAAGCACGGTTTGTCCACGCAGTGTCTCTAGACTGGGGGCCAAGTCCCACTATAAGCATTGAGTGTTCTGAACGCCTGAATCTGAACGTGTTTGTGGAGGTGTGCAGAAAACTGCGTTGAGTTTCCTCAACCGCACACCTCTCCACAAACACGTCCACATTCAGGCGTTGAGGAAACTCAACGCTGCTATTGGGACCTGGCTCTGTGAAGCAGATAGTGACTGTGTGTGGTGTGGTGTGGTGTATTCCTTGGAATCAGCACTTCTGGGCGGCCCAAAGTCTGTAACTCAGGCAAAGATGAGGACGATCACAGGAGCGAGCCCAGCAACAGCGAAAGCCAAAAGCAAGGTAGCGGTGACTCCTGCAGGAAGGTCAGCAATTCATGATCCAGTCGGTACGACGCCGGCCCGTTCTACTAGAGTACAGGAATTGCTAAGGTCAGTTCCTTCATCCCTCACTCCCTCCTTCCCTGCCTACCTACCTACCTCCCTCGGAACTTGTGGTGTGCCTTGCCCTTTGTCTTCACACCTCGCCTTCTCTTTTCCTGCTTGTTGCGACTCTTTGCACTGTGTTGTGCTGATCTGCTGTGTCTGCCGACCATGCGCGCAGGTGCAGGATGGTTATTGTTCGCCGTGCAGTGGGCAAGCCCTCCGTTAGCGCTGAAGGCAGAAGAGGGGGGGGATAGTTTTAGTGTGTATGTGTGTGTGTGCAAGCGGGGGGCGGGGGGGGGGAAGAGAAACGCACGGAGGGCACGTCCAAGAGAACCAAACTAAAGAAGAAATCCACCGTATGCCTTGCAAACACTCCGAAGGTAACTGGCTGCTGTAGTTGCAGAACCAGTGCGTCTATGAAGTGCAAGGCGTTCCAAGGCCCACAAGCTCTCTCTCTCTCTCTCTCTCTCTCTCTCTCTCTCTCTCTCTCTCTCTCTCTCTCTCTCTCTCTCTCTCTCTCTCTCTCCATGAAAGTCTTGACTTTGGATACATCTCCTGCTACTCAGCTCCAACTCCTACTACTAGCTGTGCGGCTATGGCCGCCTTCCTTCGTCAGCACGGTGCTGCCCAGCCAGGGCTCCAGCGCTGGATTCTCGCAGATAGCTCACACGCGCCACAGCAGCAATCTGTTCGAAATGTGGCTGGCCAGTCCTTATATTGACTTGGAATGAGCCGTGACTCGTCCCAGCCTGTGCTTCTCTTCGCTTGACTTGGACCCGACACCGGCTGCCAGCGGTCTGCCTGAGTTGAGGCCAGGTACCTCCCTGAGTTTTCTTCGGTGTGCTGCTGCTTTTAGGTCTGTGGGACGTGACTCTGGGACGTTCCTGTGGGATATGGAATTTGATTGGGAGACGTGGCTTTTGCCTATGGGATGTGACTTTTGCCTCTTGGATGTGACTGTTGACCGGGTACCTGTTGGACTTGACCTCTGGGGTACCCGACGTAACCTTTCTGAAACTGGCCTCTTTTGGCCTGGGGACTTTGACCCTGAGATTCAAATTTGAGGTCTGCATCGTAAAATGCCTTTCACTCTCGCCGGCCTAATTTTGAGGTTCTCCGACAAAGTTACAATCTTTACCTATTAACAATGTTGATTCATCTTCTAGCTCTCTCTTTTTTTTTTTTCTTTTTTTCTTTTTTTTAATTATAATTTCATGGCCCCGTCAGTGTTAGCGTCTTCTAGCTCTCTCGTAGTAAGACACTATGTGCGATGCTGTTCCCACCAGCTCATCTCTAGTAAGCCTGTGATCCTCTGAGGGCTCCTGATAGGCGAATCTGATTTTATATTGTCACTGGGATCTAATTCTGCGTACAGATCTATAGACATCCTCTGCAACGATGCGGTCCACGTCATACTTGCCATCCATATCAAGAGGAATCATAGATCCATACTTGCCATCCATATCAAGAGGAATCATAGATCTTTGAAATGGAAATAGATCATTGCTGACACAAGGGAGCAACTTAGAAGCATGAAACACCGGGTAAGTGTGCAAATGTGGAGGAATCTCAACAGCGTAGGAAGGACCATTCACATCACCAATCACGTCAAGTACCTGCCATGGTCCCCTGTATGCAGGCAATAACTTCTGCAGAATGACCTCCTTTGGGAAAAACTCTTTAGACTTCACCCAGACCAAATCCCCTACAGCAAACTGCGAAGGTCTGCAGTGCTTATTCGCCTGTTCTATCATCTGATGCCGTACCTTTCTGATAATTCCCCTGACTTTCTCTAAGTCCTCATACTGCACAGCGAGTTCTCTAATCCCTGGAGGAAGTCTTTGCACTTGATCAGGGTTCAGACAGTCGGCGGCCTGCATGAGCCCCAACCCAAATGCACTTCAATGGGCGTTCTCGCTGTAGCTAAATGCACAGAATTGTTGTAGGCACTAGCGACCTTAGGCAGATGCTCATCCCAGTCAATCCGATATGGCCGGATATTGCTAAGTCTGTCCATTCGTCTCAGGGTGTCTACCTGAAGACAGTCAATTTTGAACCATAGACGTTCATGAGCTGTTGCAAGTGCTCGCCCGTGAATCATGTATCCCTGTCACTCACAATAGTCAAGGGATGCCCGTAGTCGTCCACCCAATGATTAAAGAACTCCCGAATTCTAGCTTCAGCACGGAGTTGTACGAAAGCTGCAAACTTGCTAAATCTGTTCTAGCTTCAGCAGGGAGTGGTAGAAAGACAGCAAACTTGCTAAATCTGTCCACAATACCATAACCTGGCTCTTCCCATTTCTACTTCTAACCTTAGTGTCCATAAAGTCTATAGACAAGGAGTCTCTGGGACCCGACGGTAAAGGCAGCGGTCTAAGCAAACCAAGGGGAGGCTGCATGGAACTGTTGTTCCTCTGACACTCTTTGCAGTCTTCCTCATAAGCTATACAATAGTGTTTCATTCCAATCCACGTGTAGGAACGTAAGAGGTTAGCATATGTCTCCCTCCAACCAAAATGTCCCTCAGTATTGTAGCATTCCCTTAGGATTAGACTCCAAATCTCCTCACTGTTCAGGTCTGCATAGATTGTCGTGCACATCCGTTTTCTCAAACAGCTGTCCTTGCTTGGGTCACCCTATAGTCTGGAACTTCGTGTGGTGTCGTCTGCACCTTGTTAATCAACTGACTATAGACAGGATCACTAGCATAAGCGGTTCTAATCTTCTCTTGTAATTTGGCGCCTGCATCCAAGTATGTTACTATGGCACTGAAGAAAGCAGCTTGTCTGCTTAATGCATCAGCAATGACATTATACTTCCCCTTTACTGGCTTAAGTTCAAAGTCAAACTGGTCTATCTCCCCAGCCCACCTGTTAGGTGTCATTCGGGCTTGGGTCTGTAGCCAGCGAAGTGCAAGGAAGATGACCAATAGCGAACTTCAGCAATCAAACAGCATCATATACACAAGACCAGATAGTCGTGACCTCGAACCAACAGCAGAATTGCATCACGAGTTTCACCAAATAAGAAGACACCAAGAGCTCATAATTGATAATGCTGGTAAAGTCTCATCATCATCATCAATGAAGAACCAATGTTGATATCCTATCTGGCGCACGGCGCCCAGACGACAGATGGCAGATCCTATCTAGCCTAGACTACAATGTTGAATGATGACGACAACAGCTTTCCCAAAGTACGAGCATACAGCGACCAATGTCGCACACTTCCAGCACCAGGTATGTCTCTCGCCTCACTCACAACCTCATTCCCCAACACACAGATGCCACTTGCACCCAAGGACCACCCTGCGCCACACCCAGCTTACAGCAGCACAGCTCGGCTATGGCTGCCTGCTCCTTCCTGCTCGCCCGTGAGCGCGTGAGTGCCAACGAGCTACAGCGCGGCAGCGCTTGCGCAGCATGCAGCCAGCACCCGAATCCCCAATGTGGAGGCAGGCCCTTTGCTTTATGGAAGTGGCCTGCCAGCGTTCTGTCCCAGGCTGCGCTGGGCCTTTCCCAAGAAGCTTCCGGTAGGCCCCGGTAGGCTGAGGCCCAGCCCGAAAACAAATCAGGCCCATGGCCTGAGGTGGTTGCATGTGCCCAACTGCCTTCGGCCTGTGTTCAGCCCATCCCCCGTATCCAGCCCAGGGCCTGCTTTCGATACATTCACACAGGTGGCCCAGGGCCTGGATTCTTTCAACCAACTGGCGCTACGCAACTGCCTGAATTTCCTTAGTTGCGTAGTGCCCAAAATAGGGGCCTTGAGGTCCTCGTCGAGCCTGCCTTCACTTAGGGCGGCCAGCGTACTGCTTGAAGGGCCTGAAAGGGGCTCATAGAGGCAGTGGCCTCGCAGAAGTGTCTCATGGTCTGAATAAACTTTGAAGAGTCGTCCCGGGAAGTAATGTCGCCAATGATCCAAGGTGCAAGGAAAATGAGCAATAGCGAGATGACAAAATCCAGATTGCACAATCACATTTAAAGCCAGAAAGTATCACAGAGTCCAGAGAGCAGCATTGCACCAATATGACACCAATGGAGAATCGAAACACTGAAAACCGAATGTCAATGAGAGCTTGCTCTCGCCACCACCAACATAAGTATCCAGGTCCTTCTCCCTACTTGGCGCTCAGCGCCCAGCCTACTCCCTACACAGCTACTATCTGCCTACTAATTCATAATGCAGCTGTTGACGTCAGCAGCCAACGAAGTACTTGAAGATGTCGACCAAATGCAGACCATCGCCAATACCAGGTATGTGCCCTCACATCATCATCATCATCATCATCCTTCTCCCACTCCCTCGACTTCCATCCACGTATTCCCTCTGTACACCAGAAGACCACCCCTGTGCCTCACTGTAGTCCAAGTCCCAGCCAGCTATGGAGGCTGGGCTATGGCGCGGCCCTCAGCAGCGTCCTTCTCCTCGCACGACCGCACGTGCACAGCACCTTGCCCTTAGCGCACAGCAGCAAGCGAGCGCACGCTCCAGCAGCGCTAGCGCACAAACTGGCAAGGGACTGAATGCCCCGGCCAGCACCTGGCTCTTCCCTATATGGAATGAGCCTGCCAGCCTCCAGCCCTGGGCCTGTGCCGGGAAGCTTCCGGTAGGCCCCAGGTGGATGGGCCGCTGCTGCAGCCACTGGGCCCCATTCGGTTGTCTCCTCATGCCCATGTACGTTGTTGTGATGGTGGCCCAGGGCCTGCATTTCCCGAAAAGGCCTGAAAGGCCAAACAAAGTGTTTGCAGCGCGGGTCCTGGGTTCCCTCAACCAACTGGCGCGACACTGCCTGAACCCCGAAATGTGAAATGGACAGTGAGGGCCTTTGTGCTCTGACAGGCCCGCCTTCACTTAGGGCGGGGACATCTGCAGTAAGGGGCCCTTAGACCTGCCGAGGAGCTTGATCCTCGCAAAGGCTTCTCTAAGAGCAAACAGCTCTCTCTCTTATATAAAAGCGGCGACCTTCTCACTAGGTAGTCTACAGGACATAAACTCAACAGGTTTGTACCATACTTGCGGGGCGCAGATGAAGTGCACAGTGTATACACCTGTCTCTTATACACATCTAGATGTGTATAAGAGACAGGTGTATACACGTTGGGGGGGGGGGCGAGAGAGAGAGAGAGA